AGTTTTTCTGTATGTTTGACTCACTGCTACAGTTGTTACTCACTTCTCAAAATATATATTTTTTTTAAAAATATTTTCTTTAGCCATGTTTTAGAACTTTTCTAAAACGAAAGAAGAGCCTGCCTACTTATCAGACTCCCCTTTTTGCTGGTAGAAAAAAAAAACGAATGGGCTGGGATTGCCTGGTGTGCTGGGAGCTCTGTCATCGGCACCCTTTCGCTGGTAAGGCTGTTGAAGGTTGATTTTCGAGCACCCATCTGAAAGCAGGCTGTTGCGGGATTTGAGGTTCCGGCATGCACCAGTGTTGTGGTGAATCATGGCGAGATAACTAGATTTTTTAAGGCTGTACTCGAGCGAGTAGCGTGACACTTCGCAAGCAACCGCTGAGCGCAAACGCCTACAGGTAACCGCTGTTACCGATTTTGTGATTGGAAAATGCGCTGAGCTTATGCGAGTGAGGGTTGTCTTACAAAAACTCCTCTTCAGTAAGCGACTCCCGCATTCATGAGGTTTATGCTTAGGTGAAGCTGAGGACAAATAATTTCAACTGGATTTACTTAAGCTTATGCTTAGGTAAAGCTGAGGGCAAATAAGTTCGACTGGACTTACACAAGAATTGCACGAAATTCCATAACGCAGCAGCAAAAGTTTTTTTTTTTTGCAATCTCTACATGTATACCGTTTGATTGTTTCTTTACGGTAAGTGCACTGCTACTTTTTTCCCTTCTTTTCGCTCTCTCGTATCACAGGTCCTGAGTTTTTGCAATTCGAAACACTGCGCACCTCCTTTTCGCGCGTCTTCCAAATTTTTTTGTAAAAACGAACTAAAGTTGCATTTTTTCTGATGGGACTGGAATTGCTGGCATCTGATCAAGATCTGCATGAGTAATTATTCACTGTGGCTATGTGTCACGAATATCCCAGTGGTGAGGGGAAAATTCTTGTTGATTTAGCAGACTGCTTAGTTGCAATTCCATTAATCTGTGTGTTGTTCTCATTCAATTATAATTTTTTTTTATTGCAAAGTTTCTACTACTATTTTAATTATCACTGATGATTTGTTTTCGTTTTCGTCTTTTTTTTTGAATGAAAATTCATTGTTTTCGGTTTTATTCGAAGCTGATTTTCACGTCCAGAATGAAATTTGATTATTGTTTTTCGACATGTATGATCCCCTGGCCTTAGAACGTCGAGGGCTGGCGATGCATGCACAGTACGATGTGCGGAAATTCTGAGCAGCGCTTGCTTTGCCAAAAGGTGTCAGATCTACTATAATCTGTGAGGAATAGACGTAAATTTATCTAGGACGTGCGCGCATCTGTTGATGCATAGAGGGAGTGCACATTCTAGAACGGTAAGGATTTTTTTCGTTTCATTTCTAGCTCGCAGTTTTTTTGCAAAAAATCTCGTAATTGCAAAATTACAAAATATCAGGCACTACTGTTAACTACTACTAAGTGCGTCTTTCGAAACAACCTGTCATGTAATTTCGTTTTGTTACAGAACTGCGATTTCGACAAGGACTGTAGGGACCTGGGACTGACTTTCAAGCACCTCGGTGATGATTCAGGAATTAAACGCCTAGTCAGCATGCTGTTCGCATAAAAAGCGTTTACTTATAATTGACATGTAATGATTATCCGTATATAGGTCAACTTTCTCTCCTCTCACTCTGTCTGCTCTCTCTCTCTCTCAGACTTCTCTCTCATTCACATTTCTGTCCTGCAATTTAGCCACGTGACTGTTCAGAACATGGCGAATAGGAGGCTGTACTGATGATTCCCGCTCCTACGCGCACACATTGCTCGGTCTCTGTTTACAGCTAAGGGATGAAACACAGGCTTACCACGCAGTAAAATGTCCTTCGGTGTATGACACTCCTCCCATTCTACTATTTCAGGCCCGTTTCCAAGCTGGGTTATTAGCCACGAGAAAACTGTCATCTTATGGTTTCGGGAAGCGCATTTGCAAGGGGAAATTTGTTTTAGTCACATAATACTTTGAATTGTAGCCGAACATTCGTACTTTATTCATGCGTTTTTGGTCTTTTTCAGGCAGTTTCTTCATCATAGCGCTTCACCAAAGCAGGCGCTGAGCTTTCGATGATCACCGTGGCCAGCGCTGATCTGCACATGGCTTTTCTTTGCTCCGCAGTGCGACATCACATGTAGAAACGGAGGCACAAGCACGTCTCGAACGACTTCCCATGTGTTAGTACTGTTACTTTTCCCGAACAGATATGGTCTTTAATCGGTAGGTCTGTTGCATCATGTCTCCCTCATAGATAGGCCGTGTATTTGCACGAAAGCGGCTATATAAGGCTGGCGTACCTGTACTGTAAAATAGTGTTAATCAAGTAGTATTGATCCCGTGAAGTGTGCCGACCAGGGCGACTTACGAGCGACGAAGACCTCTCTGCTACACCAAGTGCGAAGCCCATGATTTGAAAGGCCGCAGCACCGGGCCAGTCAATTGGAACGCCTGGGTCAGGAAACCCAACA